TATGTGGGTGCAGATAAATAGAAGAGATAAACTTACGCTGCCTACCTATTCAACTACATTAGTGTTGGATGCTCCCTATCTATCCTACCTACAATTAAAATTAGGCCTATCTAACCTACCTATATAGCTACTTAATGTAATTGTGTGTGCGTGTGTGTGCGTGTGAGCATTCCTACTTAATGTTAAATTACAGAAAAAAAGAAGAAAACGTATCCCAGTCAGGCAGGTATTCTTTGCCACTGAATGAACGAACGTAGCCTGACATCTTCCATGATGAACTTCTCTGGAAGCTTCAACCTGAATGAAATGAAAAAATCCTATTTAATTAATTAATTTAAATGAAAATAGAGAAACGAGCCGCGGTGAAATCCACCAGCCGGAAAAGCCAGCAAAATGGCAAAAAAAGAAACAGTTAAGAAACCGTAAAGTCGGAAGTTAGGGTTAAGGTTGAACGTAGGGTGACATTACAACCATTCTGATCCTCCACGACGAACTCCTCTGGAAGCTATAACCTGAATGAATGAACCTGAATGAACCTGAATGAACCTGCACAAATCTTATTTATTTAATTAATTTAAATGAAAATAGAGAAACGCAAAGAAGCCGACCGGTCGGCAAAGAAAAGAACCGCAAAGAACGGTATCTATATAGGATTTATGCTCTATATAACTCTATATAACTCTATATAACTCTATATAACTCTATATAACTCTATATAACTCTATATAACTCTATATAACTCTATATAACTCTATATAACTCTATATAACTCTATATAACTCTATATAACTCTATATAACTCTATATAACTCTATATAACTCTATATAACTCTATATAACTCTATATAACTCTATATAACTCTATATAACTCTATATAACTCTATATAACTCTATATAACTCTATATAACTCTATATAACTCTATATAACTCTATATAACTCTATATAACTCTATATAACTCTATATAACTCTATATAACTCTATATAACTCTATATAACTCTATATAACTCTATATAACTCTATATAACTCTATATAACTCTATATAACTCTATATAACTCTATATAACTCTATATAACTCTATATAACTCTATATAACTCTATATAACTCTATATAACTCTATATAACTCTAATAACTCTATAT